GAAAGAAATGTTTAATAAAATAAACAAATAAATATTAAGCTTTTTTTTTTTTTTTTTTTGTAAATTTTGATACCTTTTAGATCATAATTTTTCTTTATTTCATAAATTACGGTTTCATATTTTTAATTTTAGAATTTCTGCGTGCCATCTTACGAGATTTAAACTGATGATCTATAATCCGGAATCGCCGAAGTCCCGACGAGTCCGGATTAACGACTTTTGACTGTATAAGATAAATTTTGAGCTCTATGCTATAAAAAATTCTCCTTCTAAATTGTCCATTTATGAAGGTTATTATTAACATATTTTGCTCACTTTATTGAATTAGAAGTTTAAATTTGGTAGCAAACCAACATTTGAAAATATCCTCTCTCCCAGAAAAAGACCATGCGTGCTAGCTGATTGAGACTTATTGATATTAATTATTATTAATGTTCTAATACTTGATATAGTATTTTCAGCTAACTAAAGTTACAGTGTTAAAATGCCATGCTACGATACATTTTTAAGGTATTAACATATTGTCCATAAGTTACAAGTATATGATGGTCAATTTATCAAATTATCTTGTGAAAACCTTTGTAGAAAATTTTGGTACTTCTTAATTAGCTGAGCATATATTATCATTAAATGCTAAAAATTCTGAAAAGTAAGAAAAACAACTTATTGATGTTTCAACCTATGAAAATAGTCTATATATTATAAAAATTTAATTATTTTTTGGTTTGATTTTTAATTATGGCAAAGCACGCAAAGGCCATGCCTTAAAGGAGGTGTGTTTACATGAAGGATTTTCTCAGATGAATAGGCTCCTATCGAAATTACACAAATTACAAACATAAAAACACTTATGCAGCCAGCCTGTTCACCTGGAATCGAGCCCAAGTCAATCCATAAATGTTCAGTAGCATTACTGTTCAGCCACTAGTGGACCAATGTCATTATTGTATAATTATATAATTTTAAGTATGCATAAAATCCTTTTTTTTTTTTTTTTTTTTTTGACAAAAGTAGTATTCTAAATTTAAATTATTAGACATGAAAATTTGGGACTTTGAAGAAAATTTTTAATCCAGACGTCCATACTCCGGAATGATCTACAGTCAAAAGTCGTTAATCCGGACTCATCGGGACTTCGGCGATTCCGGATTATAGATCATCAGTTTAAATCTGGTAAGATGGCATGCAGAAATTATAAAATTTAAAACATGAAACCGTAATTTATAAAATAAAGAACAATTATGATCTAAAGGGTATCAAAATTTACAAAAAAAAAAAAAAAAAAAAAAAAAAAAAGCTTAATATTTATTTGTTTACTTTATTAAACATTTCTTTCAATGTAAGTTGTTTCGTTTTATGTGATAATACTTTCTCTTTAATTCTATAAACAGACATAATTTCTTGTTCAGTTACTAAGTTCCGCTGTTCAAGTCCTATAATTGCTGTGTCGAGAATACCGACTAATTTGTCAATTGAAATTTTTTCGTTTTCAATAACCTCTGTGTCACTTTCTTCACTATCGAAAGCAAATTATAATGACGAGGAATTTGATTTAAATCATATCAAAGACGGAATACATCGAGATAAAATACTGCATTTAGTAAGGAATGATAAGCCAAATAAAATGAAAACATCTGCCCTGAAGATAAGGATAGTGCTGACAGATCTACTTCCAATTCGTTGCGCGCCGCGCCATTTCCCTCCCAGAGCAGCATGAAATTGATAAACAGATTTCAGAATGGTTAGGTCATTTTTTGCAGCAATTCCACTTTTGTTTAATGGACTTCGAAACATGGTTTCGCTTTGTAGATCCTTTATATATTAGTAAATATATATCGGAAATTCTATTTGAAATAATCGAAAGTTCAAGCTTACTTTTATAAAATTGCTCTAACAGTCTGCAAAAAATAATAAGCCGGATCCAATTTGAAGATTAAGGAACAACGCAATCTGCAACATTAACTGAATTAGATAATTTTAGCTTAGCTTATACCGTCCGTCATACATTAAACGCGCATGCGCACACGCATATTCGCAGACGTAAAGGTCTTATGCGCATGCGCAGAAAGTTTGTAGCTTTGAGGTCCGGATTATGGGTGTCCGAATTAACGACTTTTGACTGTATAATCCGGACCTCAAAGCTACAAACTTTCTGCGTATGCACACAATACGTTTATGCATGTGCGTTTAATATATAGCACAGACGGTATAAGCTAGGGTAAAATTATCTATTTCAGTTAATGTTGCAGATTGCGTTGTTTCTTAATCTTCGGCTTATAACTTTTTGCAGACTATTAGAGCAATTTTATAAAAAGTAAGCTTGAAATTTCAATTACTTCAATCAGAATTTCCGATTCTGGAGCTGGCAAAGGATCTACAAAGCGAAAGCACGTTTTGATGTACCGCTTCCGATAGTGAAGAAAGTGACAGAGAGCTTATTAAAAACGAAAAATTTTCGGTATTCTTGACACAGCAATTACAGGACTTGAACAGCAGAACTGAACAATTATGTCTGTTTATTTAAACAATCTGTAGTATGGTTCTAGATTCAGAAAATACAGCTTCCGATAGTGAAGAAAGTGACAGAGAGGTTATTAAAAACGAAAATATTTCGATTGACAAGTTAGTCGGTATTCTCAACATAGCAATTACAGGACTCGAACAGTGGAACTTTGTAAGTGAACAAGAAATTATGTCTGTTTAATAGAATTAAAGAGAAAGTATTATCACATGAAACGAAGCAACTTAAACAACTTACATTGAAAGAAATGTTTAATAAAGTAAACAAATAAATATTAAGCTTTTTTTGTAAATTTTGATACCCTTTAGATCATAACTGTTCTTTATTTTATAAATTACGGTTTCATATTCTTAATTTTATAATTTCTGCATGCCATCTTACCAAATTTAAACTGATGATCTGTAATCCGGAAAAATCGATAATCCGGAATCGCCGAAGTCCCGACGAGTCCGGATTAACGACTTTTGACTGTATTTTATGGTTTACTCAGTAAAATGGCTGAATGTTGCAAAATTAATTTGAAGTTCTGTATGATATAGAATGAAAGGGAAAAAAGCATTAATTGACTGGTGAGTAAATGAAGATTTACTTAGTAACCATTATTAAGTGTCCTTGTTTGTTGGAAGGAAATGTGTATGGTCAAATTATATCAGCACTATGGAAGATATATCTGTTATTTTTGTGAATTTATGTGGTGACGCCAGTATACAGATAATTTTAGGAAGTTTTTTGATGCTGTTAAGGAATTTTGTTTGACTGAAGACATGTTAACTTATAAATAAGGTAAGTGTATTTCCTTTGTGTAGTGCAAAGACGAATTTCCTTTTTTATGTTATTTTTGTTTGATTTAAAATGTAGTTTATTGAGATTATATATATTTTTTGTTGGCTGCTCCTTTGACTTTTTAAGTGAATATGGTGAATTTAAGTGTACATGGACAAAGTCAATGGAGTGCACAATGCCTTGATGTTTTTTTAATTGAAAATAGGTTGATGTGTCATGGATAAAGTCAAGGGAATGCGCAATGCCTTGTTTGTGCATAGGTCGATGTGTACATGGATACCGAGTCTGTACAATTCTTTGTCTTGTTATTTTAGCTTTGTGTAGTGGCGATTTTTCCAAAGAACTGCACAAACTCAGTATCCATGTACCGCCAAAAATTGCGAAGGCATACCCGTAAATATACTTTTAACTTTTGTTTCACTTATAGAAAAGTAATCATATTTAGAAATTTTATAACTGGCTAATGAAAAATTTCAGTTTTATTAAGAAAATATTAGAAATATGGAACTTTTTTCCTTCATATAATAAATCAAACTTTAAAAATAAGATAATCTAATTAAAAATATGATAAATTTAAAGTATAATCTGAAACTGTATATTAACAGCTGAGACAAATGTATGAAAACTGAAAAAATTCAACTGATTTTCATTGTATAAAAAATTAAATAAATCTATGCATTTAAAAAAGATCTTATATATTTGTTCAATACTTTTTTTAACTGCAGCAGAAGCTCAGGAATATTCTGATATTAAACCAGAAAACATCATCATCAAATTTTGAAGGACTGAAAGGGAAAGTCACCAGATGCAATTTTAAAAGTTATCCATTGTTAAACAATAGTTCCAAGATAAGATATTTGGCAACTTTCTCATGTGATACTGCTAACAGAAAAATACCACTTCTTATATATATGCGGTTTTAAACTGCATGTACTTTTTTAAAGTGAACCCAAATCTAAATTTTTAAATATTTTCAGTTTTAAAGTTTACATTGTTATCCATACTTTTAAATTGTCCTATAATCATGAAAATAATAGCTCTTTCTATTAAAAATACTTTTGAATTTTTACGAAATATAGACCTTATGAACGAATAACGTTGAAGCAATATATCTCTTATTAAGAATACCCTTATTGTTTGTGATAGCAATAACCTGAAGGTTTTCACTATAACTGGCTGTTATCTTGTATTGATGTCACTAATACATGTATATCCATACAACTAAAAAAAATTCACATTTAACATTTTAACTATTTTCAGAATAATTTTGCTTATTTCTAAAAAAACATTACATATAAATCATAGCTACAAAGTATAATTTTAATTTTCTGAGACTTCATTTTAATCTTTTGCCTGTCACTACAATGTTATTACTATTAGTTTTATTAACTGGATATAAATCAACATATAAAACTATTCTAAAATATTTCTATTGTATGTGATTAAAAAGCACTCTTGCAATATTTCAGAACTTCAACATGATTAGTAAACTAAATATTTTATAGCCACTCAGAAACTATTAAAGTTATAACTCATTCATTAATTTATATTCCTAAATAATTTTGAAAGTATTTTTTATTATTATTTATAGAGGTTTAAAAGGAATATACTTCAAAATTCAATAAAGTTTTCATTTAAACTCTTTAAAATATTATTTCTGCATCTAGGTTTATTCAAAATAATTCATAAAAAGTCTGAAATCATAAATAACAGAAAAAAGTATAAATTTATTTATTCCTTTTTATAGTAATTTCCAACACAGCAGCTTTCCAAAACAGATGATTATACATTAATGTGTGTGTATGTTATTTAAAATGTATGTATTATATAAATAAATTCTGAAGATATTAAACACATAGTAATATGAAACATATTACAAACAAAACATCTACAGTACAATACATGAAGTACATAATGAATAAAAATATACATATAACATAAATAATATATTTTTAATGGATAGCATTTTCTTTGTATGCAAACATATGCTATGGCTTTTACAAAAAAGATTCCACTGAAATTCAGTTCTTGTATAATTTACACATAAATATTTTTTAATATATACATCAACAGTTTACTTTTGTCAAAAAAAAGTCAGTGTTTTTTAATATACTGTTAACAGTAGAGGCACTTTCCAGTTAGAAAACTACTATATAACCCCTACTGTTTACTTGATCCCCCCCCAAAAAATCCAAGAACTTATATTCTTAATATTTAATAATATAACTTATACTTTATTAAAATTTAATATATAATTTATATTCTTATTATATATTTATAATTTAGAAAATATTTAACATTTATAAATTAAATTAATTTCATTGTATAAATTCTCACTGGCAATATACATAATTTTTTTTTTTCAACTATTAGCATAATTAACCAAACTACTGTTTAAATTTAAATGAATATAATGGAGAATCCAGCTGTCCACAACAATATAAAATATTTATGGTATTCATGGCATGTGACACACAAATACTATATTTGTGTTACATGAATGGGAAATAACTTTATTATGAAATATAGTAAAAATGCTCTATTATTCATATAAAATAGTTTTATATATTCAGTATACATGAGTAAGGTAATAATTTTATCATTAGGAAAAGGCGAAATTTATAGGAAAATGGTGAAATTGTATTGAGATTTGCATTGTCATGACAATTCTGCACCCAGTAATTTATACTGCAAAATGTCTGCAAGGTACAACATCAAGTTTTTTAACTAAAAAAGCATATTAAGCATTTTTTACTTGAAACCTATATTTATTAACCAATATCAATGTTACAAATCACATTAAGAATTCTCTTTAAGTGTTCAGATATGTTCCACATTAAATGCATGTTTTTAAATTTAGAGAAATCATCTGGTACCCAAGCCATTTGTCAAACAGATAAAAATACACAAGTACCTTAGTGTTCTACCAGGTTTGAACTATTATTGCCAATATTTATATTTGCTAGGTTCTTTGCAGAAGTGCTTCTGTACCTTTTCTTATATTCCAGAAATCTAATAAATGAAGGGTAATTTAGGGGGTCCATGTTCTGGTTTGGATTTTTGAACAAAATTACTTTTTTTGGTTACATATTTTTCGTGAAATGTAGTGTTAAAGCTAAACAAGAAAAATTTGAAATTTACAGATTTATTCAGTATTTATAAAAGTTCATGACATCTTAGAAAATCCCTTAAAATAACCATGGAAACATAAACAAGAAACAACTACCCTGATATAACTTGCAAAAGTAGTCACAAAATAATTCTTTACATTTAATAATCATGTTGATCAAACATACTTTAAAACTGAATAAGTATTTTCGTAAACATTTTTCTTTTAAAAATGTCTATGAGTGACAATGAAAACATCTCATTTTTAAAAGCACATAGTAAATATAACATATGAATAATATTAGTCACAATATAACATTTAACCCTTTAATTTTTATAAATGATGAAAAACAATTATATAAATTATTATATACATGAAAGAATTATCATAATAATTTTCATATCAATGGAACACAAAACAGTTTTGATGAATTACAATGAAAAGACAAAAAAAAAATAATTATAGAAACTAAAATTAATTTGGTGACATCATAGCTACCATGTCAGATAAGTCAATATCGTCTTCCTCTTCCTCAGAGTCTGATGGATCCCACTCGTGAAGGCGTTTGCGCCAAATTTTTATTTGAGTGTCCCATGATCGTCGACTGTATTTAATATACTTTTTAGGAGTAAATATATGGTGAGCTTCACGATTGCGTTTGGGGATTGCTTTTAAGTATCTTTTATAGCCTTTCGTGTTCTTGCCATAATCAATTTGTTTCTGACGTCTGCTTAGAACTATGGGATCCGTTTCAAGTTTCGATTTGGGTGCTTCGGATTCGTTATCAGAACCGTGCATACTCGAAGACGTTGTACTGTATTCGTCTGACGTGTATCTTCGCCGAGGTTCACGCATTGGCCTTCTTTTCAGAAATTTTGATTCTTCACTCAAAGGTAAATAATCATCTTCAACCTTAGCTTCTTCTACAATTTCGTATTTCTCTTCATCATCCTCAGAATCTTCCGATTTTGCCGAAATGACTCCCTCCGCTGGCAGTTCAGGCCAAAATTCATCATCTTCTGAATTCAGAACCTCTTTGTCCAGATGGACATTAAAATCTTCATCAGCATCATTCAGATTTTCATACGATTCGCATCTTTCAGCCCAAGTTCTCTTCTGATCTGGCGACGAAGTTTCATTACTAGCATCAGATTTACAAAATTCTTTTCGCTTCCTTGAAGACTTTACGTTGTTGCATTCCTTTGCTTGCCTTTGAAGCTCACGGTGAAAATAACGATTATTTATAGAGATTTTATTAGTACCAGTATCTCTCAGTACTGAAGTCATGATGCGATACGAAAATAAAACAAAGGGAATAGAGTTATATTTTCTAAAAACAAAAATACTTTAACGCAAAAAAGCCACGAATATCATCAACGCAAATACCCGTCTTGCACCATAGCTTGATTAAGTTCGCGCCAAAAGTTGAGTTGAGTTATTCTATGCTGAGAGAGCGTTAATCTTCTTCAGTTGATCATCATTTAAAAAAATAATAGAAGGTTGGAAGCCTTATTCCTGAATGCTTGAAATAGATTGAAGTACTTTACAGTTCTTTGGAAATCAACAGAATAGCTTAAAATTTTTTTTTTTTAAATTTAAAACCGTTTTCATTTCTAGTATTTAATTTTACAACAGATGTTAAAACTTGCTAATAACATCGAAAACTTTAAAAAAAAATAACAAAACTGTGAAAGGTATGAAACAAAACGTAAGCTAATATACGTTTAATCTATAGCATTTAGGTATCGCTATTTTGAATTACTTCGCATGAAACAGCTAAAAATGCTTTTATACTTTAATTTCGATAGTTTCCTTCATGTCAAGGTTTTACATATACCTACCCATTTAAAAAAAGAAGTGGGAACTATCATAAATAATTACCAAGAAGAATGATTTCATTAGTGATACTTTGATAATTTCTTAAAGTTATGAATGATATTTTACAGCACTTTCTTTATTCTAAATCTAGTATTCTAACCTAACCTAATATTAAATATTATAAATACTATGTTAAATGTAAAAAAAAAAAAAAAAAAAAAAAAAAAAAAATGAAATGAATGTGTACCCCATAAAATTAATAACTTGAAATAAATAGTTACTTTCTTACTTCCCCTCGTTTCAAATTTTGGTTTAGAATTGCTATAGTTTTTGCATGTTTTCTGACTAGGCCGATGCTATTCGCACTAGCGGTGCGATTATCCACTTAAGTTTCAACAGAGAATTCTCGAATTAAAGAAAGAGTTTGCACTTTTTGTGATAGAAAAAGTGGATAAGGTTCGGAGAACAGCCTTGGTTCCGCCAACTTAGCTTAAGTGAGAATTGCCTTCGTGGAGGACGTTCTAAGGGAAACTAGCTCGTATACACGTAACACATGGAGAAAACCACGTAAACGTCCATGCAGCCAGCTCGTTCGCGGGATTGCAAACTTATAGTGTTGTAGTGAATCATTTTTTTTTTAAAGACGGGTACGTACCTTGGGTGTAAATAGCCTGTTAGACCTTGGCGTAGTTTATCATTTTTTAAGCATTGGTGACTTTCAAAAATTTAGAAAGGAAAATGGGTTCCTTTTCTTATAAAAAGAAGGAATACATTTGTTTTTATTAAAGTATATATAAAAAAGGGCACATTTCTATGTTCGCAATGTTTATCGTTTTCCTGAACGGTTGGCATAGTTTAAATGACTGATTTGGCAGGGGGTGTGGACAAAATCTTGTTTACATTTTTCGTACTTCTTAGAATACATTTAACTTCAAAGCTGTGTTTTGCGCAATCAAGACTTTAATTCATTCCTCTTTGAAAATTTTCGTCCGAGAAAAGATAATAAAAATTAGACATAGGATTTCTGTGTAGAAAATTTAGGCATGAAATAAGTTAAAAGCGATTAAATCACCTATTAAATGAACAATTAATCATATAATACTGGTTATTAACAATTCTGTTTGCCTGTTTATTTTTTTTTATAGAAATACTTTTTAAAAGCGATTAAATCATCTATTAAATGAACAATTAATCATATAATACTGGTTATTAACAATTCTGTTTGCCTGTTTATTTTTTTATAGAAATACTTGCCATTTTGAGGACACAAAAAGTACTTCAAAGAACTTATTAATACAAACACATTAATAAATTATATTGAAATAAATAATAGGATGTAATTTAAAAGACAGAAATAATTTAATGTAATAAGAGATTTAAATTTAAAAATTTGTACATACAAATGATTTATCAGATTTTATTTCATAAATAACTTTGATTTTAAAATATGGCATTTGAACCCGTAAACATGTGTGGATACTGAAAAAATGATGAATATATGAGAATGTTATAGTTTTCAGTAAGTTTTCTTATTGAATAAATATTCTGACAGTCCTATGCTATAACACTAGGGTCTAAGATTGCATAAAAATTCCTCTGTTAAATAAAAGAATTTAAGTAGCCGTTTTGTCAATACGTTAAAGATTTTTTAACTAATTACGCGTGCTCGCTTGCAATTTTTAATTGCCATCATTAAATCCCTATTTTATCTAATCATTTCCTGACCTCGTCTTTGTAACTGATCATTATTATTTGCAATTTATTCTCTTGCTGGTGTTGCAATTTACTCTCTTGCTGGTGAACTATTAACAACCCTTTCTATTACTGAGTTAGGGTTAACAACCTTTGCTCTCGCTACCGCCTGCCTTACGGAAATCGGCGAAAAATGCTGGTACCTGGGGCTGATTGTGCGCATGCGCGAACATAGGTGGTGTGAACCAAGGTCTTTCTACGTGCCTTGGGTGTGAATAGCCTGTTAGCTATTCACACCGTCAGTGCGATTAGCCACTGCGCTGCATAACACGCTAGAAGGGAGCTGCCTTGAAGATGAGGAAAGTTGGCAACATCGAACAGGAAAAGAATCGGACCGATCACTGATACCTGTGGACTGCCATTATGGATACTACCTTCGTAGGAAGCTTACTTGCTTAACAGTGACTGTGAACTTCCGGTTTGTTAGGAAGGAGAAGAGTATGAGTACGAGTTCTCTTTCAAATTTCATCTGGATTGAGTTTGTAGGTAAGGCCCTCATGCCAGACGCGGTCGAAAGCTTTCGCCACGTCTATCATGAGGATCGCAACTACTTGTTTACAATGCAGGGCAGCTCCTGCAAACTCTGTGAGCCTTACAAGTTGCTTCGTAGTTGACAAATTTGCCATGAAATCCAAATTGTTCGGGTGGGAGTAAGTTGAGATATATTTTCATTCTGTAAAGAAGAATTCTTTCGAAGATCTTACGAAATCCCGAGAGTAAACTTATCGGGCGATATCCGTGTGGATTTCTGTGATCTTTGCCTGGTATGGGTATCATGATGATTTTAGGGAATTTCCACTTGTCTGGGAAATACGTAGAGACAAGACATGCATTCAGGATGCTGGTTAATTTGCAGATAATACTGTTAGGAAGATGTTTAATTGCGGTATTTGTAATGCCGTCCTTTCCAGGAGCCTTTTTTGGTCGTAATTTTATTACATATGTCTTAACTTCTGCGGGCGTAGCCAGTTTGATGACGTTGTTCGCACTAGGGAAATTTAACCAATCGCGGACATATAGAAGTATTCTAAGTTCCGAGTCTTCGTTCATTGGCCAGCAGTTAGGAGTGAACTGCAGTTTCAGGTGTTTAGCAAAAATATATGCGTTGTCCTGGTTTGAAGTTGCAATTATGTTATTAAAAATCAGGGGACGGTTGCACGAGTAGGTCGTCGTTAGATTTTTGATTAGAGTCCAAAATGAACTGTCATTGATGTCAAGACGAAGCATTTTCTCTGACCAAAGATCTTCCTTATGTTGCTTGATTGATTTTCTAATTTCGCTGTTTAACCGGTTAATGTCCCTTTTGATGGCCGGATCCCATGTCATGTGGTAGACTTTCCGGAGCCTGTTTCATTGTTTAATAAGGAGCCGGATATGTCTAGGAAGTCTAAAGAGGTTATCCTTGTTCGGGAAGCTTTCGCTTGCATGAATGACAAGAGTTCTGTATAGTATTTGTCCGCAGTGGCTTATCGCATCGACGGCGAGAATAGCTAAGAGACTATTCGCACCACCTATGCTCGCGCATGCGCACAAAGAAAATTGTGTGATGAACATGAAAGATTTTGTTTTCCTCCTTGTGTTATGTAAATACGAGCCAGTTTCCGATAGAAAGTCCTCTCCGAAGAAACAGACCTTGTATGTTTTGTATACATAATTAAGCAAACAAATATAACAAGTATATCTTTCTTTCCGAAAAAATGAGAGAAAATTTTCTTGTGAAAAGTGAAAATTCAACTCTAAAGGTACAGAGATAATAACAGAATATGAAAAGAAGTGAAAACGAAATGTTTATAAATCAGACTGTCAATAATCAATTGATAACAGAACTAATTTTGACAGAAAAATAATTTTTCATAGTAAAAATGAAGGAAATGAGAGGTATTTAAATTTCACAACTAAAATAGGGATATCAAAAAATAAACAAGATAACTTCTGATTTCCAATTTCTAGCTGATAAAAAATTAATGTCATTGGATTTAAGCATTTTAAAATCAACAGAGAATTTAAATAATTAAATGTTTTAAATGTTATTTAGAATATTTTTAACACTGCCAATTACTAATAGCAGGGATAAAAATAAAAGAAATGAAAAAAATGCTATTCCCTCCAAAACGTTCGAATATCTCTCCTAGAATATAAATTGATAATGAAAGCAGATTTTGAAAATAATTATTACCGATTTTATTTTATTAAAAGCAAGACCAATTAAATTATAAAAGCCGTTTGATTATTAAAGTAATTATTTTAATATTATCTATTATTTATGAAAAACGTAATTTTTAACGCTTTCATTTAAATTTGCACATTATTTATGTATTTTATAAACACATAAAATTATACAAATATTATAAAGATATATAATTTTGTGTAGTTACTTTTACTGAACATAAACGTATACAGATTTAGCTAACTAGATTGTTCTGTAAACAGATATGCAGATATAAAACTAGTAACTTGAAACAAATAGGCACTTCCTGATTATTTGAATTCTGGTTCAATATTCTTGTAGAAACATTAGGATTTTTGATACTGAGAGACGTGAGAAATGTGCAGTGCCCTCACTGAGACTCAAACCTCTTGAATACGCGCCGAGTGTGCTGGCCATTACACCACGAAGGCATGCTAAGAAGGCGAAAGAAATACCTTATATATTCCCCCTTTTAAAGGGCGACTAGGATCAGAGGACACAATCGCCAAATCCGCAAAAAGGGTGGAGAATAATCATCCACCACCCTTTTTTTTTTTACTTCGGGCGCCACTCAGTGCTTAAATTGCGCCGGAGCCCACCGGAGGCCGGCTCTGGTGCTTCTCAATTTTTAGGATAAATTACAATTTTAGCCGGAGCGCACCGT